AAAAATATAAATAAGTTTTATTACTTGTTTAATATCACTTTTTTTTAATGCTACATAAAAATAAAATGATAAAAACAAAATTGATTTATAATTAAAAAAAAAAAAAAGTGACAAACAAATTTGATTATCTTTTTATTTTCCTTTTTTTTTTATATAAAATGCTACATTAAAAAATGATAAAAGAAAAATGGATTGCTTAATATTAATGTAAATAAAATACATTTCCTTAAAAATAAATACATAAGCATTTATAATATTTATTTGAAAATTTCCCGTCAATCAAAACGACAATTTCAAAAATGAATAGATAAATATTTTAAAATGCTAATTAAACATTTCAGAAATATGAAAACTCATCACATCACTTATTGATATTTTCTATTAGCTTCGCCAAGATGCGAAGAAGTTAGTCTCTTAGGCATATTTATGTCCTAATTAAGTTCATTTGAAATCATATTGTCATGCCCAGAGTCTTTTCCCAACTTGACTTCATGGGCTTTTATTTATTGTTTAATAGCCCACAAAGTGGGCACTGTTTATAGACGCAGTTGATTGTGCGTATGTGTGTGTGTGCATGTGTGTGAGAGTGCATAATAAAAGCCATTAAAATTAAGTAATTGACGCATGCAGTCGTCGGCACCTGGTGGAAAACAGGAGAAAAAAAAACCAGAAACGCACAAGGGATATTGTCATAAGGCATCGACCAATAAATAAACTTGACTCTTCCCTGTCTGATTACACACACACAAGCATACATACATATTTAGATACATTCATCATTGTATATGTAATGCATTGCAGAAATCTCTCGCTGCCTTTTGCATGCATTTCGGATATTTTGCAATTTATTTCACCTGGTCTGGTTGTTGGTTGTTCTTAACACATCGCATTGGCCCATTAAATTGAAAGCCTCTTAAAATTTCAGCCAGCTCATAAAACTCACACGTTTAGTCGCTCTGCGGGATTTTCAATTGCCTGACGAGATATTAACCTGATTTTACTTGACTTTAAATGTAGCGGAAGTCCAATTGGAGGTGTTATGGAGCTATAGGCTCATTTTTAGGGTGACGATTTTACTTTTGCAGATATTTTAATTTTTTTTCTAAAATTGTACTTAGTTTCTAGGATTTGTTATATAAAATTAGCAATATAAATTTATTTAATATACTTGAAAAGGTAATTTAAAATACTAAAACATAATTTTCAATTTTTTAAGAGTAGAGCTTGAAACAGCCTCTGTATGCCTTAGGTTGAAGTTGATATATATATTCTAAATTATTTCGCATCAAATTTTATATTATAAACAAATTAAATATAGGAATCAATTAGAGTATATGTATTTATATTTCAGTATTTTTATATTTTGGTATTTTATTCTATATATCTATTTCAATATTTTTATTTTCCATTATTTTTGTATAATTTTTTTACATTTTTAATATTTCAATTTCTATACGTGTAGTATTTTAGTTATTGAATTTTAGTATTTTTATATATTTGGTATTTTAATATTTTTTATATTAGTATTTGATTATTACTTAATTATAGTAGCAGCGATTATAGGGACTCATTGATTGACACAACTCCATAATTCAGATTTTTATATTGAATAGGCTGAACAGTTTCAATTTCCATTTGGACTTCGATTCAGTTTATCAAATTTCGGAAATCAACTTGAAATTAGCAACAAGTCAAATCCAGAAGACAAAACACGCACACATCAAAGTAAAAATTCCGGGCTATCTGGATGGGATGTGTGGGGGGTGTGTGGCACTGAAGGTCGAAGGTATAACACATTACATTACATCGAATCCAACGGAAGCCAACGGGCGGTAGAGGCGACTTGTCAAGGATGCCATTGAGCGCATTTTCTGTAAAGTATTTTATGTTATTCCAACTGATGGAATTGTACGGCGGAGAGACCGCCCGTCGAGCTGTGCGTGTGTGAGGGGGGTGCTTCCATGCCATTAGGGCACCCTCCCCTACCCTTCCTCCCTCTCTCACACGCACACTCGGATAGCTATAAGCATATGCTACTTGTTAAGGCAGCAGGTTGGCTAGTTAAGAGCTTTGTCGCAAGGCAACCAAACAAGAAGTGAGAGATAATTAGGGAAGGGCATGTTTGCAATAGGAAATTGTATTAAGTGTCCTTGAAACAGTGTTGAAAAGCTTTGAAAGAGTAAAGTGAGAGCATCGTAAAATTATAAAAACTCTTTTATGATTTTAATTGCTGAACAATTTCTTACAAAGATTAAGATTTTTTTATACCCTGAACCCATTGAAAATGGGAAATCAGGGTATAATGGTTTTGTGAAAAGTATGTAACAGGCAGAAGGAATCATCGCAGACCCCATAAAGTATATATATTCTTGATCAGGACGACGAGCTGAGTCGATTTAGCCCTGTCCGTCTGTCCGTCCGTCCGTCCGTCCGTATGAGCAAAAGGATCTCAGAAGATATAAGAGCTAGAGAGCTGAAATTTGGCATGCATACTCGTGTATACCATAGGCAGTACAAGTTTGCTTTATTTTTTCGATAACTCATCCGATAACTTTTTTATCGAGAATAATCGAAAAATCGACATTGTTTTTTCAGC